AAAAGAATAAATGCTTGTTTAACTGTGCGTTCGATTGCGCGGGCACTTAAGCCGCCACTGATTATGCTTCCGCTCCCCATCTTGACCTCCAGTCCATACTGATAGCCCCTCAGACCTTTTGTACGTTGGCAATGCATTTTCTGCCCCGATACTCTGACATCTTTCAACTATTGGCGATACTTGGTGAGCTACAATAAATCCATAGCCCTAAATTGTGATAAATTTATCCGCAGCTGTAGATTTCACTCTTGAAACACCAAGAATTGGTTGTTTTCTTCTACTCTTACCAGACTACACCAGAGTGAGGTAGTAAATTTAAATAAAATCGACCGTTTAGCAGTTCAGGCAGAGACACAATTGACAGAAAGGTGTCTGAAGGCTTTAGTGTATCGGAGGAGCAGGCTTTTCAGTTAATGTCGGGACCGGAGAATCTCAAATCAAGCTGGGTGTGGATTAATCATGTTTTACCAAAAATATGCATAACAATAAGTTTGTTCTAAAATTTTGCATTTTTCTAATTAAGAAGGAGGAACAAATACACATTTTCCATTTTAAGTTGTTGATGTCCAGAGTTAAGGCGTTACAGGACCAAGGCAGGAGTATAACACAAACTTATGGTCAACGTAGATTTTGAATGCATGCGAGGACATAATATAGGTTGGCTTTGGGACATAATTGTGTTTTCAGTAAAAAAAATTGCCAAACAAGGTTGTCGCACCCGGACATTTTCCTCGAGAAGAAAGATTTCATAACACTTGGACAGAATATGTATTGCCGACCTACAGAAGACCTTAAGGGCTACTGACATGGCCTGGGGGCTAGACTGTCAGGCAGAGGTACAATGATGGAGCCTCTGAGTTGTCCCTTTACAAAACTGAGGGCTAAGCAAGCAATTAAAGTACTGTAAAGTTTGAAATGGTCCAAAAAGCCCATGCAAGCTATTACTGGCTTTCAATAGGAAGGTGGGTAAAGATCTGGTTGGATGAACAACAGAATCACAAATAACCGGAACCAGAGGGGATAAGTGTCGATGTGGTTGATAATTTGGCTTACCAATGAGGCAAGGAGAAAATGAAGAGTGACTGGGGTGACAAGTCACTTGGCTCGGTATCAATAAATGGCAATAAATGACTTGTCCTCTTACCAGGCAGCGGTAATGTAAACGCTGCCCCTTCTGACAAAAGAAACAGGCTTAGACGTAACGTTCCCGATTTCCAAGACGTTCTAGAAATCACCTGGTCTCTTCACAGACCACATTACCTTCAATCACCACTCCACATATACTTGTGGAAGATTTTTCTTCGGTGCAAGCTTTGCGAGGTAAGCACCATCTACAGTCCCTTCTCAACGATATAGAATAGGTACAAAGAGTGCTTTTGTGCAATGCATTGTCTCTGGAGGCGAGCAGGCCAGTCCTGATCGCACTTTTATTTTCCAAATGTCTATTTTACATATTATTATTAAATGCCAAGAAAAGATGTTAATAGCTTTGAACTTGGCGAAATACCAGCAGGGAGATACAGAGACTGTAGATGAGGTGAAGCAGCCCCTTTCTCCTGATCCAATTAAAGTGCAGCTCTTTCTCTTCCTCGGTAAATTGTAGACAGATACGGCACCTACCCTTGTTTTGTCTAGAAGAACGGAGCTCTCCCCCAGACGACCGACTATTCTTGCCTATTTATTTTCGCCCACATTTGAGATAAGTGATTAATCTCGGGTCGCTTGCATTATCATCCAAAAAAGAGGATTTACATGATAGTAATGCAACGGCTTCGGGTACTGCATTGTAAGGAGTACAGTTTTTTAACCTCTTTTTTAACCTCTGTTAGCCCTACTACCCCACCTCCTCCAATTGCTAAGTAACAATATGACTTGAAGATTCTTCGCCTTTGAAATAGTGTTAACTCAATTTCGTGAATTCGGTGATTTCAGGTCACATCCGTCAATATCAACCGACATTTTACAATATGGCCTAAGAGTTCAAGAGAAGAATGTAGCAGATGGTGCAACAAAGACTGCTGTGCTGCTAAACTAACACACTTTATGATGCTTTCTGACGCAGGTACTGGCATTTCACAAGTGTCCACAAGTTATGCATCTTCGTGGTAAGGTATAACACACACCTCATGAATTCTTTTATCTGATCACATGTGAGTGCTACAAAATCCCCCAATAGATAATGTGTTTCCTTTTCATTTATAAAGTGAGTCCAGATATTGCAAAGGCATAAAAAGTAAGGTTTTCGCAGAGTTGACGGAACAGAATTGCAAAATTTGTACAAATTAAGCATATGATTTGATTGTAAAACTGATAGTTGGGTTAACTGTTCGTTTCCGCCATGTGGACTCTTAGGTCCCCACTTTTGTACATCCGCTAGCCAGAATGGCCTTCGGACTATGCCAATAAACCTTAGTCCAGCCCGTCTGTGCGTCGGTAGCGCATTTCCCTTCCTAATGATATGATATTTTTCTTTTCTAGGTGACAGCGAGAAACAAACTTGATCTTAAAGGACAACTGCCCTAATTTCTGTTTCTTGCTACCAAACATTAACATAATGGAAGAAGGTCATAGATTTCTGATAGAAGGATCTGTGGCGCTTCCCACCAAAAGGGTTTAAAATGATGCCAATCTTTGGCAACTACCCCAGTCCTGCATTCTGCTGGAATGCTATTAGCAACTGAAGAGCCACTAGCAGTAAAGCATTTTGAAAAGTCCGTTAAGGAGCTGCCTACGGCACCTGTTTGAAGATGTCGATTAAGTGAACAGGCGATACCACTTCCTCCACCTCTATACTAGCTGGATAGAATCCAGATGGAAATGGCTGGGTGGCACTGAAGTGAGAACACTGTGGCAAGGAAGCAAAACCGCGAAACATTACACCCATGAAACTATTTTTAACCCCGTCTCTAATTAAATGACCCTGCTTTTAGGCCAGTGCTCTCACACCTAACGATGGACATACCAGATGGCCTGCATACTTTCCTCCCCCCAATACAACTTCCAAACAGGACGATACCCTAGATCCAGCAGAGTGACCAAGAGTGATCAGTGACGTTGCAATCAGATACCTTCTCTAATGCACGCAAATTCGACTAATGATGCTGTTAGTTCTTGAGCGTTTTGCCTTACAGCACTGACTGGGGGAGTTTGACCAAGGGGACCGCCAGTGACGACGTTCAAAAGAGAAGGACTATGCAATTCTTCGAATAGTTGCCTATCCCCTCCTTTCAACCAAGCCGGCACTTAGGGCTCCACTTTTATCTTTCCACTGGCTAGGATGGTCTCCAGACCATGTCAATAGTCCCCCTCAGCCCTTCTCTACGTCAGCATCACGTATTCCGCCTTAATATCATGATGTTTTGGGCTTAAAAAAGGGCCATATAATGATCTGGACTTAAATCATTTTGTTCTCTCAGATTAATAGGCCTTATGCGGTGGAATAAATTTTAAAAAAGTAGGAAATGCGCATTCACTCATACTTGCAATGCGCACTTTTAAACCCCAGTCCTTCCAGAAGGCCACGTGATGAAAGGTGCGAGGAACGGTATGCATTTGAATGCGTTTCTTTCATACGGTCTTAATTTTAATGCTCACTTCAAAATTGCACATTTAAATCAAAATAAAAGACCATTCCTGGAAAGCTTTCGATTCTGCGGAATATAGTTGAAGAACTATGGAGATCTTATAACTCCAAAAGGCCGAAAAATCGGATAGCTTATGTGACAAGCCCAAGTGAAGTAAGAAATTAACGGGGAAATTTTTAGTTCTACCTGAAAGACCCAATCACCTCTAACAGAAAAGGGAGAATACCGATCCCATTTAGGGCCAGTGAAGGACTGAGACCACATTGTACTCCTGCGGATTTGCATTCGTGCAGGGAGGGGAAAGAGACAAAATTTGGGATTTGCCTTCATTAAGTGACAGATTTAAATCCAAACAGACGACATTGCTAACTTGGGAAACGCCTAAATTTGTACTTCAAGAGCACATCTGCCGTGGAAAGTAGGCCTAGATGCACAGACAACTAATTCAAAGTTAAAGGAGGCAATCCACAACGACGGACATCAAGAATGGTGAAATTTTGACGCCGGTGATTCAACGCCTGCTGACCGAAATGCGTTTGAGGAATATCAGCCCCCCAGAATATTGCTATGTCACCCATCAGCCAGATTCCCCTGTACAAAATGAATAAGTTCTTTTTCGCAATGACAAACTGGGCAAAAAACCTATTCATTTAACTCACAAGTTAGTAGGTAATAGCACCAATGAAATTCCCTTAAAATTATATATCCTTGTAGAATTCATTTCTATTTCATTGTTTTCTCAGGTCAGGCAATGCCATTGGACCTACCCAGTTGTCAGAATGTCATCTGTTCACCCACCACAATTTCGGTTGCCACCATGGTGGCATTGCGCTCCCTCCATGTCATTTCTGTTAATGCCTCCGCTTCCTCGTGAAGGGCCAGGACCCTTCAAGGGTAAAGAGTTTCTTCGAGCACACCTAAAACACTACATACAAGTTCTCAAACTTCTACCTTTTGGCTTTAAAAGATGAAGGTGACAGCATTTTCTTGCAAAAGTAACCGGTCTCTTAGCCTAAATACATGGTGACTCAAATTCAACCGCCTCTTTGACGAATTTAAGCAGAGGGTAAATAAAAAAATCATTCTTCGAAGGCCTTTTTTAATAAGGCGATAAAGGTCAAAACTGTTAGGTGGAATGGTTTTTTGACCTACCAAAATAAATTCCGTTTTAGTAAAAATCCTATTCAATTATCCCTACTTGATAGGCCCCTTCTATGTCAAGATAATCCTTCCAAAATGCCACTATTCATGTCTTTATTTAGCATAAAATTACAATATCCATGATGTTTACTGTTCTGTCGAGTTGGTCTTACCAAGCAAGAAATGCCACTTTCCCTTAAATTTTTTAAAATTTTCCCTGTTAAAACTGACCAGACATACAGGCTGGCGATCGAGCATGTCAAAGTTGAACCCCGTTTGACTATTTGCCTTCCGTTAACAAACTTCACCGGGGGTAACACCAAGTGGACCTGCTAGTTATCGCGAGAGCTGCATATCTCAACAGCCTTTCAATTGTTTTAGGGCCATTTTTTCTTTTTTCCTTAATCGTAGACATAGGGGAAGAATAGGAGTGGTAGGCTTTACCAGACACCATACTATAACAAGACATAACAATTGTTTTTCCGGGTTTGCCTCCATTTAGTGCTTCCAGGAAAAGTGGATTCTTTATTATTTTTTAGCTACCTAGAGTACATGAAGACGGGGGGAGGAAATATCTAAATCTAAATATCTAAATCCTTGTCTATGAAAGGAGAATTGTTATCAAGGAATGGATGCAAAACCAGTATTTGGTGGATTAAAATAGGTCTGAGCTGATCATAGCGTTTTATTATAAAACGGTAGTTGGTTCGGCCACCATCTTGGTAGCATGACATTCAGCCCAGGTATTTAATTTGATTTTGTTGAATGAATACCACACATGTGTCCACCGTGAATGACAGAACAGACAGACGTTCTACGGAAATGTAGTCGAAATCGCGAAGACGCCTGACAACCCACACCTTTTTCAATTCTGCATAATGACCAGTGATGGAGTGAGGCTGAATTTGAGACTGGATGCAGTCAGAAGAAATTATATTTGCATCCCTTGAATTGCGTTCTTAATTAATTGTTCATGCAAAAGCGATTGGTCTGCAGCCTATGATGGTCCTGGACCAACTCACAGCTTTAAGTACTCAACTTTTCTCTATTCCATTAAATTTTATATTGCAGACTTTAAGTCCATTTTGCAGTTGGCTCAATTTTACGAGAAAGATTTGTAACGGCCGAAACAGAGGAAATGATTACATCCACAGCCAGGAACAGCCTTCGATAGAAAAGGCTTTAGAGAGTAAAATGATACTTAGCATCAGGATGTATTACTTACTCTCACTGACCTCAGGTTTGGCCACCGTTTTAATATTACGGGACCCCCATCCATCTCCGCAGGCCCTTATCATGTTAATGCTATTTTTTATTCTCCTGGTAGGTAGCTGTAAATATTCACCTTATAAATTTCACTGTGTTTACTTTAAATAAACAAAAGAAAGAAAATGACAAATAAATGGGAAACTTGTCCATTAAATTAAAATGCTTTTGCATTATGAACTCGCTTAATAAGAAAATGAGAGGATAGTTTAAAAACGTTTTAATTGCTACATAAAGTGGCTGCGCTTTGAGCTAAAAATTGGTGTTGTGTAGAACCCTAAGCCATTTATGCAGACGAATGAAGACATAATACTAGGACAGAATAAGTATTGCCAACGTACAGAAGGACTAGGGGGCTATTAGCATGGCTTGGAGGCCATGGCCCCCCACGGAAGTACAAAGGCAGACCCTTCAATCCCCGAGGGACTAAAACGTAGACATAAACAAACAATCAAAGGATTGCATAGTCCCTCTCCTCTTGATCGTCGTCCCCGGCGGTCCCCTCGCTCATCATCTAGGGCCGGCCATCACAACGTATCCGGTGCTTTAAAAACAAAAACATCCACAAATCAACGATGGTATTCATCTAAGTTGCATGCACTTAAGACGTCATAAATCTCTCTTGACAGTTCTACTAAATCCGCAGTTTCGACTTGTTCGGATCTCGCATACCCTTTGTAGTCGTAGGAGCCCTTGCCCACAGGCAGAGTAATTTAAGAAAGGACAGGGCATGAATTAGTTTCGTGAGGATAAGGTTCTGCATCTGTTCCTCCTCCCAACTGCGTTCTGACCTTAATGCTGCTCATTTATATCCATCTGGTTTCCATCCAACTGGTGTAAAGGTGGAGAAGGTACCGCAGACAGCTCCGGAAAGAACTTTTTCAGATGATTTAAAGCTAGTGTCACTTCACTCCTGCAGAACACGAGGAGTAGGTTAACATCATTTTAGGTCCTTCCACTAGAAGTCTTCACAGATTCTTCCAGCCACACCAAATCCCCTCCTTTCACTAGGTTAAGATCTTGCATTCAGCAATAGAAATCAGGATATTTGTCCTTTAGGGTTGAGTTCGCTTTCCTCTGTCAACAGCGTAGCCCCTCGAGTCTTTCCTGAAGACAGAAAAATTCCCGGTGCTGTGGTAGAAAATGTATTGGAGACGTATATAAGGGCCGTTACAATGGCGGAATCGTAAGCTCAGGGAAACTAAAAGGAGGTGTAAAACAAATAAATGGGAATCGACTTAAGTATTTTACCTTTAAGCAGCCCGTCAGTGACTAAGCAAAAACCTTCTGAATCAGTCTC